TTATTATAACATTTAGGTAGTAGGATTTTATATTAATATTTTTAGGCAGAAGAGTACCTAATATTTTGGGCAACAATGGGAAAAAGAAGAGTTCAAGTTCAAGGTCCATATAAATAATAATTCAAGTAAAATAAATAAATAAATATCTAATATCTATTAGCATTATTTTAAACTGTAAGTATTTTTTTTTCTTTAGTTTATTTTAATTTTAAAATCTCTGTTGCACAAAAGTATTGAGTCCGTAACACCAGTTCCATAATAACTTGCTGTCAAAGGCGAGACCTAGATACTCCACCTCTGCTGCAAAGTTTAATTTTGTGTTTAGGAGCTGCTTTCCATTTGTAGATCTTTAAAGACTATAAATCTTCCAGCACCTCGTCCATCCATCTTATTTTTGGTCTGCTTTTCACTTTCCTCCTATATTTACCACATTTCATTAGCCTTTTAAGTTTTATTTTGTTTTTAAACCATCTTAGTCTGAATCCTCTAATTATTGCAAAAATCATGCTGGACCATAATCTCTAAAATACTCTACTTCTGCAAGACAAATCACGATTTATTATCCTGGCCATGGTTTCCATTTAATACGGGTCCATAACGGGATGTGCCCAATTATTTATTCAAAAAGAATTATGACTTCTAAAATAGAACGTGTCTTAACTTCCAACACGCAAGATGTCGTAATTCGGATGTCGGTCGGCGATTTTTATAAGTTTCGTTGTTTATTTTTCATTTTCAGTGTAATGAACTATGAAGCGCGGTAAAATTAGAACATTTATGGGCCGTTAATTTGAAATCTGACAGCTAACGGTTCTGCATTTTCACACTTTAGTTTACAATATTTTTAATGCGATTTCTTTCATCTTTTTATCTTGTGTATATTATTTTGGCTACTGAATTAAATAATTGTTTTAAATGGATGAAAATGCTGCCTGAAAATAACTAAAATGAAATTCTTGGGAAGGTAAAAAAGTTCTTTTAAATTGTTCACCTTTAAAAAAATGTCCCAAGAAGCGTAATCAGGACACATTTTGAATGGGAAAAGGCACAACGGAATTTTCTTTCATAAATCTAAAATTTATGAAAGAGGTATAAAAATATTTTTTCTAGTAGTGTTGAAATAGTCACACTTTTTTCCGCACTAGTAAATTTGTTAAGTTTTTGGGGAGTATACTGACATTTGAATATTTAAAATATATATTTGTATGGTTGTAGTTTACAAAATGACTGAAAAATTAAGAAATTTATTAGATTTCTGCTATAATTTTTAATTGCCTTGGTCAGAGATAAGGGAGGCCCTGGTATAAGCCCCATCAAATAAATGTCAAATAATAATAAATATCTGATATTTTTTATTTGTCACTTTGAATCACCGTAGCAACAAAAAAAATAAACCTGTCAGTCAAAACCCTACCTTGTCAAAACCAATTTTAACGTCGCATCTTTTTCTAGAAGATAATTTTTAATGGATTATTCAGATGAAGATTTGCCAGAGTCAGCTTTGGAAGCGGCTAGAACTGCAAACTTGGATCTATTACCATCAAAATCCCGTTATGGGTATGAAAAGGAATATATTTTGTTTGAAAACTGGTGCCAGAATAAGGTAATTAAAACTTTTAAAGAAGACATTTTTTTGGCTTATTTCACTGAAACTTCCAAAAGTTTTTTAAGGTCACGGCATACATAAAAAACAAAACATTAGATTTAGACCAAAAAAGGCAAAATTTTTCTCAAAAGAAGACATTTTTAAGTTTATAAATTAAGCGCCTGGCCAACTTTATCTTCATATAGAAGTCGCTACGATTTTTGATTTGGCGGGTGCATGTAGGAGAAAAGAATTAACAAAGATGTCCTTAGATCATATTAATGACAAAGGAAATATTTTATTGATAAATATCCCAGACACAAAAAAGACATTCTTTCAGAAGCTTTGCAATTTCTGAGGAAGCTAAAAATGAAAAATTGCTCAATTTGTTTAGAAAGTATATGAATTTAAGAAAGCCTGAAACCCCTCATAAGCAATTTTTTGTGAAATATAAAAAAGGAACTTGCACTGTAAAATGTATCGGAATAAACACCTTCAGAAAAATGCAATCAGAGACTGCAAGTTATCTGAGGCTTCCAAATCCTGAATTATATACGGGCCACAGTTTCCGACGTTTCGCCGCCACAATGCTTGCAGATTCCGGAGAAGGAATAACAAATATTAAACGCCTCGGAGGTTGAAAATCTTTAAGCGTCGCAGAAGGTTATGTAGAAAGATCACCAAGTTTCCAAAAGAGCCTATCGAATAAAATATGAAACTTTAATGACGCTGTCGTTGGCCCTTCCACTAGTCAGCAGCTGTCACCAGTAAAGCCTTCCAAAATGACCTCTTCCAGCCAAGTTCTTATCACCACGGTTGCAACAATTAGTGCAGACAAAGCAGTGGATAACCGAAATCTTACTTTATTGGAAAATATTTTAGCCTCTGCAATTAATTTGCAGAATGCTACAAATTGCACGTTCAATATTAATATTAAAAATAATTAATTTGTTGATATGTATTTAATAATAAATGTTTCTTTATGTTAACTACTGGGTTTTTTCCGCACGCTAGTAGAAAAAATAGTGTACCTAACATGTGCGTAAAGTGACTTTTTCGCACGCGATTGCTGGCCGAACTCCGCTAACGCGTCGTTAGACAGCTACATCTCAGATAAACAAACGCAAAAGCAGATATACTAGATATGTCCGATGTGGATAAATAAACGCTCGAGATGTAAAAAATGCATCGGATGTGGATATTTAAACGCAGCATAAATGTAGTAACATTTTGTAAATTGTTTTCTTTTATTCCTAAATTATATTTGTAGCCAATATTAGCATAAAAGTTAGCCTGCCTGATTTAGTGAAATTTAAAAAGCCATGTATGACAATCAACAAATTTAAAACATCAAAACTGATTTTCGAATGGTTTTAGATAAAAAAAAAATGGTATTTAATAAAAGTGTTTCTATTGAATAGATCTTTTAATTTCTGAAATAAAAATGGTATGGTTTTGACAAAAAAAATTGTGAAGCGTCACGACGCCCAGCGTCGCTTAATTATAACTTCCATATCCATTCCAATTTTAAGCATCAATCGGTGTAAATAATTTGCTGCAGCCGTTTACGAGACAAACTCATTTCTCATGATATAAGAATCACCCTGTACATTAGGATGGGCCGAAAAAATGAAAGTTAAAATTTTAAATTGCTATAGTATTTAAAAGCCCGCGTTTCATTATAAAACTACTTGTAGTTTTTTAAACAAATTAAAAATTATATTTTCAGCCCTCTACCAGCCCCAAGAAGAGCTAAAAATAAAATTAAAATTATAGTAGAATCGCAATCGACACGAAATAATAAATCAAAATTTTATGGGCGTTTTACAGCACAGGTGGCTCAAACAAAATTTGTGATTTTAAATAACCGATAGTAAAAAGGCATAAAAATCTTTAGATAATTTTACCTGTGCGTAAAAATAGGCTACCATTATTTTAATCCCTTTTAATACTTTGATGAGCGCACGGTTGGATAAATTAGAGGGTATTTGTTTGTATTATTTTTTGTTACTATTTTAAACATAAATAATTATAATTTAACCGCCGAGGTGCTTGTTTTAGGTGAGTGCCCTCGCCACCCACACCTGAAAATTTTTTTGGTTGGCTGGGGCCACTTTTTTCTTTTTTTGTTTTTTTTGTTGTAACATATTAATATTTTCACCACTTTTTTGACATGCTTCTGTTTTGCTTGCATTTTTGCAGTCTGCACGCTTTTGAGCTTTTTCTGGTGGTTTAGTTTC